GCCAGGGGGTCCACGGACCGACCTCCAGGCCGGGGTTCCTCGCCCATGTCGGCGCACCCCTCACGAGGATCGCACCCTACAGGGTGCTCCAACTATAGCTCCAGCGAGGGTGACCCACTCTGGTCGTGCCCATCTCGGCGCACCCCTCACGAGGATCGGGTCGCACAGGGAGCTCCAGCTACAGCTCCAGCAAGGGTGACCGTCTCTTGTTCCACGCCAACTTCGCCGTACCCCTCATAAGAGTCGTGCCTCACAGGGAATGTCAGCTACAGCTCCAGCGAGGGTGATCCTCTCTTGTGCCACGCCGTTTTGCGCTGCTTCTTCACGAGGGTCGTGCCCCTATTCTCCTCGTCCTCCTCCAGCTTCTTCTCTCTTTCCCTCTCCTCCTCCTCCTCCCATTCCCTCGTCTCCCCCCGCCCAGCCCCACGGACCAGCCTCCAGGCCAGGGGTCCACGGACCGGCCTCCAGGCCAGGGCTCTTCGCCCATTTCGGCACGGATTTCACGAGGATCCATCCCCACATGGAGTCCCAGCCTGTAGCTCCAGCGAGGGTGACCCCCTCTGGTTCCATGCCCCTTTCGGCGCACCCCTCACGAGGAGCGCGCCCTACACGGAGCTCCAACTACAGCTCCAGCGAGGGTGACTCTCTCTGGTTCTGGCCAAATATCGCAGCACCTCTCACGAGGATGCTGCCCCACAGGGAGCGTCAGCTACAGCTCCAGCGAAGGTGGCCCCCTCTGGTCTCACGCCATTTTCGGCGCATGATGATGATGATGATGATGATGATGATGATGATGATGAGGATGATGATGATGATGATGATGGTGATGATGATGATGACGCGATGATGATGATGATGGCAAATACGATGACGGCGATTATGCTGACGATGGTAATGATGACGACGATGACGGTGACGAGGACGACGTTAATGGTCATGATGATGACCATCATGTCGATGATGATGACGATGACGACGACGACGATGACGATGACGATGACGATGATGATGATGATGATGATGATGATGATGATGATGATGATGATGATGATGATGATGATGATGATGATGATGATGATGATGATGATGAGAGGGAGGAAGATGAGAGTGGGACGCGGACGAGGGGAGAGGAAGGGTAGGAGGGGGCTGGAGAGGGTGGAGATGGGGGTCGGAAGGTCAAAGATCCAGCATCGTTCGAAGATCAAAGATCGAAGTTCGAAGATCAAAGATCGAGGAGACTTGCATGGCATCATCTCCTCCACCTCCTTCTCCCTTTCCCTCTCCTCATCCTCCTTCCCTTTATTTGTCTCCCCCCACCCAGCCCCATGGACCAGCCTCCAGGCCAGGGATGCCACGGACCGGCCTCCAGGCCAGGGGGTCCACGGACCGGCCTCCAGGCCAGATCCCGCCATTGCCCACATATGTGTTGCGCAGCAAACCGCAAGCTGCGCAACACATACGTGGGCGGCTCAATATTTTTTTGTCGGTGTTCGTTTCCCGCCAGAAAACTCCATGGACCACCTTCAGGGTAACCGTCGGAAAACCTCCGGCCTGGAGGCCGGTCCGTTCGGACCGGCCCCGGCCTGGAGGCCGGTGCGTTGCCTACTACTACTACTACTACTACTACTACTACTACCACCACCACCACCACCACCACCACCACCACCACCACCACCACCACCACCACCACCACCACCACCACCACTACTACTACTACTACTACTACTACTTATACTTCTACTTCTACTTCTACTTCTACTTCTACTTCTACTTCTACTACTACTACTACTACTACTACTACTACTACTACTACTACTACTAC